CATCTACATATACGCCAATTAAATGACAAGATGTTCTCTGCCAGTTCTCACTAAATGATGATAGGCTATTAATCATCAGCAAGCTCACTGTTTTATGTCAGTTGTTGCCTTATAGGTGCTTACATTTAGGTGTCAAAATTGAATGTTAGTAATGCTTGTTGTTGCTTGTCACACATTTCACTGTTGTATTGGTTGATTGAAACCTGTTGATGAAATGAGCTAAATACAATTTTCATTGTTAAAAATGATGTTAATACATGTTTAAAAATATACATATATACCCTACTGGCAGAGTATATAGTAAAATTTTAATTTTAACCATCTCATTTTAATTAGGTAACGAAGGGATTATTTAACATGGGTAATATTGCTTGTGATATTAATGACTTGACTTTAAAAATCATGGGACTCCACATTTGTTTTTTTCAGTTTCTTTATTTCAAGGAAGCTCAGTTTGAGGAAAAATAACTTATTTCTAAATTGCCTGTCCTACCAGCAGATATTACCATAATTGTTGAGTCGATGGTGGAATGGGTTCTGCAGGGCTCTTACTCTTGCCAGGCTTACTGAAAGAGTTGCACAGGTGTCAAAAAGCATGACTTTTGCCTGCAGATTCTTACTAATTACAGCAATTGCTTGACCATCAGAACCTAGGATTCTTGGACTAGAAGGCAAAAATGTTTCCCCTTTAATACAGAATCAGTGAGACCCAGCAAATAAGGAGTCCCTCACAATGCTATTGTTAAGTCATTTCTTAGGGTAGATTTCTCACAGTCTTTGGTTTTGAGCCTATGAGCATATGCTTTGCAAATCTCTCCCAGGTTCATCCAAAGCATGTGAAGGAAGCATTCCGGTTGTTAAATAAATCTATCATCAGAGTTGAGACTCCAGATATCAATTTAGACCAAGATGATGACCAGCAAATAGAGGACCAAGAGGACCATGACGGAATCAGTGGTCAGTGGCTTTGGTCTGTGAATGGAGGGAAATGGTTTCAGCATTTAATTCTTCACTTTTTTGATAAGAGTGCATCTCTTCTTTTTCTAACCTTCATTTCTTGCTGTCCCCCCATTAGCTGGAGGAGTAGCCTGGGAATCTTGACTCGGTTCTTCCATTGCTTTTCTTTAGTCCTTGATATTTTGCACTTCAGCTTCTTTGTAGGTGTACAAGCATGGGCAGAGGAAGAAAAAATGGGAGGGGGCTGAGTGTGTGCACTCCTGCACTGCGGGGGTCTCGATCTGCCCTTCGTCCTCTCTCTCCTCCCCACCCCCTCCCCCCAGCCCATGGAAATAAAAA